CAATAATAATAATAACAGTGATCAAAGTGGGCTGTCAATTGATTGATATTCGTATTCCATATCTCATTGTGCAATGATCACTGAGCTTTGAAGCAAAAATAAATGCACACAAAATACAATGTCAATGCAATAATAATTACAACAATAACAATAATAATAATAACAGTGATCAAAGTGGGCTGTCAATTGATTGATATTCGTATTCCATATCTCATTGTGCAATGATCACTGAGCTTTGAAGCAAAAATAAATGCACACAAAATACAATGTCAATGCAATAATAATTACAACAATAACAATAATAATAATAACAGTGATCAAAGTGGGCTGTCAATTGATTGATATTCGTATTCCATATCTCATTGTGCAATGATCACTGAGCTTTGAAGCAAAAATAAATGCACACAAAATACAATGTCAATGCAATAATAATTACAACAATAACAATAATAATAATAACAGTGATCAAAGTGGGCTGTCAATTGATTGATATTCGTATTCCATATCTCATTGTGCAATGATCACTGAGCTTTGAAGCAAAAATAAATGCACACAAAATACAATGTCAATGCAATAATAATTACAACAATAACAATAATAATAATAACAGTGATCAAAGTGGGCTGTCAATTGATTGATATTCGTATTCCATATCTCATTGTGCAATGATCACTGAGCTTTGAAGCAAAAATAAATGCACACAAAATACAATGTCAATGCAATAATAATTACAACAATAACAATAATAATAATAACAGTGATCAAAGTGGGCTGTCAATTGATTGATATTCGTATTCCATATCTCATTGTGCAATGATCACTGAGCTTTGAAGCAAAAATAAATGCACACAAAATACAATGTCAATGCAATAATAATTACAACAATAACAATAATAATAATAACAGTGATCAAAGTGGGCTGTCAATTGATTGATATTCGTATTCCATATCTCATTGTGCAATGATCACTGAGCTTTGAAGCAAAAATAAATGCACACAAAATACAATGTCAATGCAATAATAATTACAACAATAACAATAATAATAATAACAATACTAATAACGGCAAATGTTTTTGTATGTGTTGCCTTTTATAAGAATTACGTGGAAAGCCTTTTCACCGCAGTGCCCTTTCCGTGCCTGTTTCACTATGTGTCTGTCTCTGGGTTTATATATCTGCCGAGCTGTCTGTATACCTGTCTATCTATCTTGGTTTATTCTTTTCGTGCTAGCTTTTTTATATTTCTTTCTATATCAGCGTACCCGACTGTCTGCCTGTCTGTTTGAATGCTGCTACTGCTGCTGCTCTCTCTCTCTCTCTCTCTCTCTCTCTCTCTCTCTCTAGCTCCCTCCCCCTCCCTCTATTTCTCTTTCTTTTCTTTCTCTTTCTCTTTCTATTTCTCTCTCTCTTTCTATTTCTTTCTCTCCCTCTCCCTCTCTCTAGCTCCTTACAGCACTCTCTCTAGTTCTCTAGCTTCCCCCACCTCTCTCTCTCCCTCTCCCTCCCTCCTTCCGTCCTTCCTTCTTTCCCTCCCTCCCTCTCCTTCTCCCTCCCCCCCCTCTTTCTCTCTCGTGTCCCCTCTCCAGGCGGTCCGACACATTCCAGCATTCCTTGCATCGTTCCAGTAGCACTCGCTGTACACAATATCGCCCAGGGTGCGCGGCTGAGGATTGTGTTGCAACACTCCACGGTGGTGTGCAACGGCTTCGAGTGTCCCTTGTAACTGCCAAGAATTATTCACACGACGAGACAACCCCCTTGCCCTGATGACCTGCCCCTCTGTGTAAAGCGAACCGCGTCTCCAGTGTCGCGAGGGATACGTACTGATGCGTTTTATCATTATTATCATTTCTTCGTTTTTTTCTGTTTTTTTCTTTTTCTTATTTTTCTCAGTAGGAGTGAACTACCTGCTTTATCTCATTCTTTGTTGTTGTCTCTGTCTGTCTCTGTCTCTGTCTCTCTCTCTCTCTCTCTCTCTCTCTCTCTCTCTCTCTCTCTCTCTCTCTCTCTATCTCTCTCTCTCTCTCTCTCTCTCTCTCTCTCTCTCTCTCTCTCTCTCTCTCTCTCTCTCTCTCTCCCTGTCAATCAATCAATCAAGCTATCCATGTCATTCTCTATCACAAGAGTCTCATACACTGCTTAACGTATCTCCAAGCTGGAGGATTATGCTCTGTGTGAAGAAATAAGAGAGAGGGGATTTGCTATACGTGTGAATGGAAGAACGAAGAAAAGGGGAAGGAAGGTAAAAGAAAAGGGAGGTGGAGAAGGAATTGGTAGGACGGAGTGGCACGAAAGACTAAGGAGAAGAAGGGAAGAGAAAGGGAGGAAGGAGAGAGAGAGAGAAAATGGGTAAGGAAGTAGAGTGGGTGGGAAGGCGTATGGGAGGAATTGGGGAAGAAAAGGAAGGAGAGATGATGAAAGTGAGGGGGAGGGAAGAAAGGAATAGGAAAGGATGAGAAAAGGTGGAAGGAAACACTTGGGCAAAGAAAGTCAAAATAAAAAAGAGACGAAATAATTGGAGGAAAATGGAAGAGAAAAGCTAGAGAAAGAGAAGGATGAGAGAGAAGAAGGAGAGAAGGAGGAGAAAGGGGAAGGGAGGAGAGGGGGGAAGGGAGGAGAAAGGGGAAGGGAGGAGAAAGAAAGGGCAAACGGGAGGAGAGGAAGGGGAAGCAGGCGAGATGAGAGGAGAGAAGAAGAGAGGGAAAGGGGGAAGGGGGAGACAGAGCATACAGGGGAGATGGGGAGAAAGGAGAAGAAGATGAAAAGAAAGACAGAAGAAAGAAGGAGGAAAAGGAAGAAACGAGAACAGGGAAGTGGAAGAGATGAAAACACTCAAGAGGAGAGCCAAGAGAGCAACGGAATCGACCAGGAGGAAGAGGGAGTGGTGGAGAAACATGAGAATGAGAATAAGAAAGAAACGGAGAAGAGGATGGAGGGGGAGGGGGAAGAGGAGGAGGAGGAGGAGGAGGAGGAGGAGGAGGAGGAGGAGGAGGAGGAGGAGGAGAGGAGCAACGTCAAGGTGGATGGTGAACGAGAATGAAACGGGAGGTGAGAGAGGGAGAATATTGGATCGTCCGTGACACCAACGAAGGGAGGGGAAGGGGAGGAGGAAAGGAGGGGGGATGGGGTGGGAGGGGGGAAACTGTCAACGCTGGGGGGTAAGGGGGGGTGAGGGGAGGGAGTGAGGGGAGTCCAAAAGGTCCGGTCGGTTGGAGTTCGGGTGATAAAATGCCGAAATGCTGGACTAAACTGCACGTACGACAGCCATGAAAAGGAGGAAAAAATGTGGAAAGACATTTATAAAATAAATTCGTTGCGGGAAATAGGAAGAATAAAGATGATGATGATAAAGATGATGAAGATGATGATAATGATGATGATGATGATGTTGATGATGATGTTGATGTTGATGATGATGATGATGATGATGATGATGATGATGATGATGATGATGATGATGATGATGATGATGATGATGATGTTGATGATGATGTTGATGATGATGATGATGATGGTGATAATAGCAATTTTCTTCCTAATTAATTTCCCTTATTTATTTTTTGCATTATTCCTAACTTTGCTTATTTGATCTTGCATTGTCTCTCCTCTCCCCCTTTCTCTCTCTCTCTCTCTCTCTCTCTCTCTCTCTCTCTCTCTCTCTCTCTCCTCTCTCTCTCTCTCTCTCTCTCTCTCTCTCTCCACCCCCTTTCTTTCAATTCTCTTTTCCTTTTTCCTCCCTTTCCTTCCTCTCCCTTCTTCTTTTCCTTCCCTTTCCCCTTTCCCTTCCCCTCCTCCCTCTCTTCCCCCCTCCCTCCCTTATTCCTTTCTCTCTTACCCCTCTCTCCCCTTCTCCCACACTGCCTCCTCGCCGGTCCTCTCCCTCTCCCTCTTCCTCTCCTTCTCCCTACCCCTCTCCTTCTCCCTCTTCCTCTCCTTCTCCCTATCCCTCTCCCTCTTCCTCTCCTTCTCCCTATCCCTCTTCCTCTCCTTCTCCCTATCCCTCTCCCTCTTCCTCTCCTTCTCCCTATCCCTCAACTTCTCCCTCTCCCTCTCCCTCTCCTTCTTCCTACCCCTCTCCTTCTCCCTCTCTCTCTCCTTCTCCCTATCCCTCTCCTTCTCCCTCCCCTCCCCCTCTTACTCTCTTCTCTCCCTCTTCCTCTCCTCCCCCTTCCCCTCCTCCCTCCCTCTCTTCCTCTCTTCTCCCCCTCTACCTTTCCCTCCCCCTCCGCTCTTACTCTTTTCCTCTTCCTCTTCCTCCCCCTCCCCCTCCCCCTCTTCCTCTCCTCCTCCCTCCCTCCCCTCTCCCCTCTTCTCCCCCTCTTCCCCCCTCTTCCTCTCCTCCCCTTCCCCCTCCCCCCCCCAAACCCCGCTGGGACTCATTCTCCGACATTATGAGATTACACAATTATCTCCGGGGAAAAAAAGGAAGAAAAACAGAGTCAAGTGAAGCGAAGAGGAGGAGGGAGAGGGGAAAAAAAAGAGAGAGAGAAAAGGGAAAGGGGAAAGGAATTTTACCTTAAAAAAAAAAAAAATAATAAAAAATAAAAAGTTCAAAGGAGGTAGGAAACATGGAAATGAAAAAGAAAGAAAATGAATATCTAAAAAAAAAGAAAAGAAAAGCGGAAAAAGATCAAATAATCGACCCAAATTCCCACAAGGTCCAAAAGAGAGGCATAGAAGAACGCCTAAAAAAAACCGCATGCTGATGCAGGGCCTAAAAAAAAAAAAAAACCTCGATAATGAGAAAGAAGCGGCGGTGTTCGGGCGTGAAATGAGGGTCGGGATGCGCAGTGGGTGGAGGTTCCGGCCAATTAAACTATCAATACCTCTTTTATTTGGGTCTTTTACTTCCTTTCTTTTCCTTTCTTTCGCGTAGAAGAACCGAATGAGTGGCTGCATTAAACTATCAATCCTTCTTTACTTTTTATTTCCTTTTATTTTATTTTTTCCCGCGCGGAATGGTGACGTCAGCAACGAAAGGACCAAATGAGTGTCTATATCAAGCTCTCATTTTATTTTCATTTGTGTCTTTTTCTTTCTTTCTTTTTTTCTCTTCTTTCGCGCAAAAGGCCCAAATGAGTGTCCATATCTTCTTTTACGAGTATTTTTTCTTTCTTTCTTTCTTTCTTTCCTTTGTGCGGAATAGTGACGTCATCACCGGAAGGACCAAATGAGTGTTTATATCAGGACTATCAATTCGTTTGTCTTTTTCTCTTTTACTTTCTCTCCCTTCGTGCAAAGGTACGAAAATAAGTGTCAATATCTTTTATTTTCCTCTTTCCCCTCTTCTCCTTTCGCACAGAATAGTAACGTCATCAATTAAAGAACCAAATAAGCGTCTATCGAGTGACGGGGATGGGGGTAGGGGGATGGGGGAGGGGTTGGGGGGAGGGGGGAGGGGTTGGGGGTATGGGTAGGGGAGAGGGGATGGGGGTAGGTAGGGTGAGGAGGGAGGAAGGGTAGGGTGGGAGGAGGGGAGTCGCTCGTAGCCCTGAGTCGCAAGGTGAGTCTTAGTAAGTTTAAAAGTGAGTCGTAAAACAGATTCGCAAGTTCAAGTCGCACGACGAGTCCTAAACGTGAGTCACAAGGCAAGTCATAAGGTGGGTCGAGGTAACCCGTGAGGAGATGAGTCGCCTTATGGCGAGTCCCAATGCAAGTCATCAAGGTTATCTTGAAGTTGAAGTGAGTCGTGAAATGAGTCGTAAGGAGAGTGGAAAGATGATCCGTGGGAATGACTCACAGGATGAGTCAATTTAGTGAAGAACTCGAGTTTTTGCCTTTTATTTTGATCATGATCTTTCTTCCGAAGCGAATCCACGGAATAAAATAAATGATAATTGATAAATACAATCGTAAAATAACAGTAGCGTTGAGAAACAGAGGCCTTTGATGTTCTTTGTTCAGATCTCTCGATAGCATTAACGATGCGGACTTTGTAAAGGAGAGAAAAATACATGTGTGTGTGTGTGTGTGTGTGTGTGTGTGTGTGTGTGTGTGTGTGTGTGTGTGTGTGTGTGTGTGTATGTGTGTGTGTGTGTGTGTGTGTGTGTGTGTGTGTGTGTGTGTGTGTGTGTGTGTGTGTGTGTGTGTGTGTGTGTGTGTGTGTGTGTGTGTGTGTGTGTGTGTGTGTGTGTGTGTGCTTAGTGTGCTTGTGTGGGTGGGAGTATATATATTTTTTTACATGGAGGGGAGACTCAAGTATTCATTAAAAGCTATTTTCAGTTTGTGAAAAAAGGAAAAGAAGAGAGAAAAAGGCAGAGGCGTTAGCTATAAAATGATATATATGTACATCACTATAGCTCTGACTTTGATTTATTTTGAAAGAAGGGAATAAGATTTTTTCTTTCTTTTATTTTGCCGATTTACGTGTTTCTTTCCCTCCCCTCCCCCCCCCCAAAAAAAAAAAGATCAAACGGCGTAAAGAAAAACAAATGATACTTTAAAATCCCGACGAGTTTTTGCCGGGCGATAAATCTTTGAAATTGGCGCTGAATAATTTAGAACGTGAGGGAGACGAAGGGGAAAAAGATATATCCGCAAAAATATGAATTATCGTCATTCAATTAAAAAAGGAAAGAAATATTTCAAACGTATATTTATGTGTACGTGTACGTGTATGCAGCCACAACACACACTCACGGACACGGACACACACATACACAGACACGGACACACACACACACACGTGCGCGCGCACACGCGCACGCACACGTACACGCACACACACACACCTCTCTCTCTCTCTCTCTCACCCTTTCTCTCTCCCTTTCTCTCTCTCTCACTCTCACTCTCACTCTCACTCTTACTCTATGTATATATATATATATATATATATATATATATATATATATATATATATATATATATATATATATATATATACATACATATATATATAATGGCCGTAAAGAGGAAGAACCATCTGCCAAGGACACTTTTTACGGTCGTTATCTCGTATGGGAAGTAGGAAAGGGAAGAAAAAGGGAAAGGGAAGGGAAAAGAGGTATGGGAGGTGGGATAAGGGAAGAGGAGAGAGAGGAGGATGAAAGGTGGAAAGGGGAGGAGGAAGGAAAAGGCGGAGAGTGGAAGTGAAGAGAATAGATGTGGAGAGAGGAAGAAGGAAGAAGAGAAAAGGTGAAAGAGGAAGGAGGAAAAGATTGAGAGAAATGAGAAATACGAAAAGGGAGGAAGAGAGGAAGAAAAAAAAAAAAGAGATATAGATAAGGATACCCCTCTCTCTCTCTCTCGCTCTCTCTCTCTCTCTCTCTCTCTCTCTCTCTCTCTCTCTCTCTCTCTCTCTCTCTCTCTCACTCACTCTCTCCTTGTATCCCTCCCTCTTCTCCCTCTCCTTGGCCTCCCTCTCCCTCTCCTCCCCCTCTCTCTCCCTCTCCCTTTCCTCCCTCTAACTCCTGCCTCTCTCTCTCCTTCTCTCCCTCTCCCTCTCCTCCCCCTCTCTCTCCCTCTCCCTTTCCTCCCTCTAACTCTCCTGCCTCTCTCTCTCCGTCCTCTCCCTCCTTCTCTCTCTCTCCCTCCCTCTCCGTCTCTCTCTCTCTCCGTCCTCTCCCTCCTTCTCTCTCTCTCCCTCCCTCTCCGTCTCTCTCTCTCTCCGTCCTCTCCCTCCTTTTCTCTTTCCCCCCCTCCCTCTCCTCCCCCCTCTCTCCCTCCTTCTCTCTCTCCCTCTCCCTCTCCCTCTCCCTCTCCCTTTCCTCCCTCTAACTCCTGCCTCTCTCTCTCCGTCCTCTCCCTCCTTCTCTCTCTCTCCCTCCCTCTCCGTCTCTCTCTCTCTCCGTCCTCTCCCTCCTTTTCTCTTTCCCCCCCTCCCTCTCCTCCCCCCTCTCTCCCTCCTTCTCTCTCTCCCTCTCCCTCTCCCTCTCCCTCTCCCTTTCCTCCCTCTAACTCCTGCCTCTCTCTCTCCGTCCTCTCCCTCCTTCTCTCTCTCTCCCTCCCTCTCCGTCTCTCACTCTCTCCGTCCTCTCCCTCCTTCTCTCTCTCCCCCTCCCTCTCCTCCCCCCCTCTCTCCCTCCTTCTCTCCCTCCTTCTCTCTATCCCTCTCTCTCTCTCCCTCTCTCCCTCCACCTCTTCTCTTTTGCCCCCCCCCCTTTTCCCTACTGCAGAAGGCCAATAGACACGATCCTGGTCCCTTGTCCGCTACGAGACCTGCCAGGTACATTGTGCTCATATCCAGGCCACTGTTCTCCCTGATCTAGCCCTTGACAACACGAGAATCAAAGACGCCTTATGTATAAAATATAAGATTAAACACTCGAGTTATCTCCACACTCTCTCAGTTCTTTCTATTTTTGTTATTTTTTTCTTTATTCATTTTTTTTTTCTTACTATTCTCTTTTTTGTCTTGTCTTTGGTCTTTTTTTTTCTTTTTTTTTAGTTTTCTTTTTGTTTTTCTTTTTTTTTCTTTACTTGATCTTCCCCTTTCTTTATTTATTTTCACCCTTTCTTCTTCTTCTTTTTTTTTAGCCTACTCGTTTTCCCCCCACATTTTCTCTTTCTTTGTTTCCTCTCCTATCTCTTACTTACTCCCTTCTCCGTCTTTCCCTCCCTCCCTTCTTCGTCTCCCCCAATCCTCCTCCCCCCTCCTCATTCTCCCTCTCCCTCCCTTCTCCCTCAATCTTCCCCCCCCCGTTCTTCCTCTCCCTCAATCCTTCCCTACCTCCTCATTCCCCATCACCCTCTTTCTCCCTTCTTCCTCTCCCTCTATCCTTTCCTTCCTCCTCGTTCCCCTCCTTTCTCCCTCTCCCTCTTTCTCCCTTCTTCCTCTCCCTCTATCCTTCCCTCCCCCTTCCTCGTTCTCCCTCCCTTTCCCCTCTCTCCGTCTCCCTCTTTCTCTCTTCTTCCTCCCCCTCTATCCTTTCCTTACTCCTCCTTCTCCCTCTTTCTCCCTTCTTCCTCTCCCTCTATCTTTTCCTTCCTCCTCGTTTACCCTCTCCCTCTTTCTCCCTTCTTCCTCACTTCTTCCTCTCCCTCTATCCTTCCCTCCTTCCTTCTCCCTCTCCCTCTTCCTCCCTTCTTCCTGTCCCTCTATCCTTCCCTCTCCCCTCCTTGTTGTCCCTCCCTTCTCCCTCTCCTTCTTTCTCCCTTCTTCCTCCCTTCTTCCTTTCCCTCTATCCTTCCCTCCCCCCTTCTCGTTCTCCCTCCCTTTCCCTCCTCTCCCTCTTTCTCCTTCTCCCTCTCCCTCTCTCTCCCTTCTTCCTCTCCCTCTCTCTCCCTTCTTCCTCTCCCTCTATCCTTCCCTCTCCCCTCCTCGTTCTCCCTCCCTTTCCCTCCTCTCCCTCTTTCTCCCTTCTTCCTCTCCCTCTTTCTCCCTTCTTCCTCTCCCTCTATCCTTCCCTCTCCCCTCCTCGTTCTCCTCCTTCCTCTCCCTCTTTCTCCCTTCTCCTCTCCCTCTTTCTCCCTTCTTCCTCTCCCTCTATCCTTCCCTCTCCCCTCCTCGTTCTCCCTCTCCTTTTCTCCCTCTCCCTCTCCCTCTTTCTCCCTTCTTCCTCTCCCTCTATCCTTCCCTCCCCCTTCCTCGTTCTCCCTCCCTTTCCCCTCTCTCCGTCGTAAATGCTCCCCTCTTTAATGGTCGTGCTGGGTGTGGTACGACACTGACCCACCTGGGGATCGGTTTAGGGTCATTTGGGGTCACCTGTATAACGCTGGATGACCTCGTAGGTGATTCGGCCCTTCTTTTACATTCCATTGGCTTTAACTTGTATTTTTATTTGTAGGTTTCTTATCATTGATGTATTTTGTTGTTGTGTTTCTTCTTTTTCTTTTTTTTTTCTTTTTTTCTTCTTCTTTTCTTCTACTACTAATTCTACTTCTTCTTCTTCTTCTTCTTCTTCTTTTCTTCTACTTCTACCTCTACTACTACTACTTCTTCTTCTTCTTCTTCTTCTTCTTCTTCTTCTTCTTCTTCTTCTTCTTCTTCTTCTTCTTCTTCTTCCTCTTCTTCCTCTACTTCTACTTCTACTTCTATTCCTTCTTCTTCTTCTTCTTCTT